CGACGTTGACTACTCCAGCAGACCGAATTCCCACGACCGCCTCCCACGATGTACGTCTCTCCCGGCCTGTAATCTTGCGGCATCGGTGCGTCCCATTGCGGGCTACAGAATCAGCATGTGACCTCGCTCAACGTCGCACCTCCGATCCTGGGGGGCAATAACTTACTTGTTGACACCGTCCACCAAGTCGTGCGGCTCAATGGCCACGGCCGAGCTTCGCCCCATGGTCTTCACCTTGTCCGTTCCCTGCGTGCTCTTCAGCCCAGCAGATCCATCACTCCATCCCGTAGAGTAGATCTGCACGCCGCGCTGGTCCGTTCTCAGATCAGCCTTGATGCCGTTCCAGGGACTCGCGAGTGTGAGGACGACCGTCTCGGGCGAGGGAACGTCGTCAAACAGCCAGAAGTGGTTGTAACCCTCCGTGCCGGCGTTGGTGGCAAAGTCAGGGGTGTCGCGGGCGCGGCCAAAGGGGAGGTCAGGCTGAGAGGCAAAATCCATAATGTGGCCAGGGGTCACGGAAGCAATGGCACCGGTGGGGAGGCCGAAGGAGTCAATCGGGAGGAAGCGCTTGGCGTAGGGCATATGCAGCGTGTGGGACCAGATGTTGTCGGTAGAAGGATTGCGGTAGGCCTCAAGGTTAAAGTAGGTGTGCTGGGTGAGCATGAGGGCTGGGTATGTCAGCTACGAGGAGGACAACGGGGACATACGCTACGGCTCACGGGTTTTGGCTTCGGGGGAAGTGGCCTCCATCCTAATGTTCCACTTGCCATCGGCCACGCTGTAGGTGACGGACGCCTCTACACGTCCAGGGAAACCCTTGGATTCGCCCTCAGCATCAGAGATGGAGAAGGTGATAGAGTCGCTTGCGAGGCTGGTCACATCCCAGAAGCGGTACGACCAGTTGTTGCTGCCGCTGTGGAGAGTGTTGGTGGAATCGTTCTTCTCCGTGTGATACGTCTTGGTGCCGACGGTAAATTGCGCGCCCTTCAGGCGGTTGACGTAACGGCCAGGAATCGCATTGTACACAGGGTGGCCAGGGTCGACGGCTAGGCCACGTCAGAACAAAGTGTGCACAACTTGCTGAGTACTTACGGTAGAAATCAACGTCATCGTATCCTAGAACGACGTCGACATCATTTCCCCGCTTGTCCTTGACGTACAGGTTGGTAAGTGTTGCGCCGTAGGGGATGAACTAGATTGAGATTCAGTGACGTTGAGTAATGAGATAGGTCACAGGTATTCCTTGTATTACCTGGGCCTTGATTCCCTTGGCCGAGATGGTGTAACGTCCATCCTTTCCAGGCTTGAACTTGGACTTATTGCCTGCCGCAGTTGGCGTGATCGTCAGCCTCAGACTCGGATGACAGACACCAACGCTGACGGCCAGCTCATGGCAAAGCGATCACCGGCGAAAGTCAATTTCAGGCCACAACAATGTGAGAGCTTACTCTTCTGTGAAGCCGGCACAAGTTCGTCTCGCCAATGCCAAATCCCCAGACCGACAACAACCGCAGCGACCGCCGAAAACACGAAAGTGCGGTTGGAAGCCATGTTTTCCAAAGGCTACAGGCCAGGGCGCCCTTCGTTCGGAGGCGGTTTCTGCTCTATGAATCAGTAAAGTGCGAGCGCCAATGGCTGGGAGACCAGGTCTCTCACGGAAAAGAAAGAAAGAATCAATCAATCAATCAAGCCTCGGCGTCCCGAAACAGACCAACAGACCAGAAACGAAAAAGTCCAAACGTCGCTCCCAAAAGGGCAGATGAGGCTTAAGTATCGGGCGTCTTCCCACGAGCTTCCCGTGGGCGCGCGTGGGGGAGCCCCGGGCCGGACGCTCCCAACGGGTCGGCCGCTGCGAGGGCAAGCCGCACCGCAGGGTAAAGATCCCGATTGGACCTGGCCTTGCAGCAGAGACTGGGAGGCCCCCTGGTACGCGCTGGCACTTGGGCGGACCTACGGACCGTGGTCGCTGTCGTGCGCCGCCAACTAAGTCGGCAGCAAGGGGGGGCACGAGCAGCTTGGGGGGGTTAGTTGGAGAAGAGACCTGTAGGGGTCATCTCCCAGGTAGGCCGTGGTCGCGGATCAGCGGGCGCCATCCAGCCAATGCGGAAAAGACAGATTGCACGGAGCCTCAGCTGCGGACGAGCCCAGTCGGGCGACATGCAGGCAGCAGATGACGGATACGGAGGGACGCGATGGACGATGAGATAGGTATAGATGGATCTGACCGACAAGAACGCTGTAGATGCTGATGGATTGGGCATCGTCACAATGCTGGTCCAAGACTTTTGTGGAACAAGGAGCGTTTGCCCAACTCCCCGTCAGCATAAGGTGCATAATCCGGACATTTGCCCCATTCAGTCCACCCAGCTCTCAAGTAAAGCGCGCGCGCCGGCGTGTCAGTTGCCGCGTCCAGCAGCAGCAATGAATGCCATGTCCAGCTCCGTCAGGGCAAATGATTCCATGCGCGCCATGAGCCTGCCGCCTAGATTTTGCCCTCTCTGCGCCGGCAGTACGAGTAGGTTGTGGATCTAGCCGTCTTGGCAAACGTCTGCTAAGGATTACACACCAGCTGCACGGTTCCAAGTGCCTCAATGGCTGAGGATGTGGGACGCGTAAGTACGAACAGCGACATGAGAGGTTATGGGTCGAAAAGCTCCAGCCGAAGGTCGTGCCAATACGCGGTGGCGTCGGCATCGGAAAGTGGTGCGAGAAAGTCGAGGGCCGAGACGGCCGGTTCGGGATTGACACAGGACTACAGCAGACGACAGAGAGACGGCAGGAGGCGTCCCAGATCGGCTGCGTTTCGTATCTGCGTGATGGTGAATTCGGATTGCGTGGCTCCATCAGAGGTGGTCGCTGCTGGCTGATGATCGTCCATGGTCGCCTTTGCCGTCATGCGTCTCAGCGACGCTGGCTCGGTGCCTGAGATGCTGATCGCTTCGGTGGCTGCTTTTTCCCGCTGGGTGTGAGGAGCATGGCGATGCCGAGGGGTATTGACAGCGGGAAGGGAACAGGGTTAACGGGGCTCGTCATCATGGCAATCGACAGGGTCTGGTTCATCTGCGCACCCGCCCCATCACTGGGCTTCTTCCCCTGGTCGTTAGCAGAGCTGCTGGGGGAGGCTGTCCTGGCGGGCTGTGGGCCACGCTGGGGTTGAAGCCGTGGGTTGGTCGACTTGGCACGCTGGGGATAACTGTTGGGAGGCATCACAGCGAGAGAGGTGTTTTGTTTCGTTGGATGTGTGCCTGAAGCGGTATTTCGGCTCGTAAAATGGATTGAAATATCTGGACTGGAGTTCTGACAAGAA